TTTTTTTTTTAAAGATCAAGGGGTGGAAATGGAAAGCAAACGAGCAGTGTGCAACACAAACCTCGTCTGCCTTTATCCATCCTTCTGTCTTTTGTCTCCGTCCTGCCAGGATGTTTGTAACAAACTTTGGGGCCTGAGCAAAAGCAACCGCTGTGTGACCAACAGCATTCCAGCGGCGGAAGGGACCATCTGCCAAACCAACACCATCGAAAAGGGGGTACCTTGGCCACACTTCCCAAACACTTCCAGCCTTGTAGCTCTTTTAAGCCTCCAAGGGTTGGTCCCGCGTGGAGTTCCCACCCGTCCAACTCGTGACGGGGAAAATTCTCTACCTGCAACGCTACAGAGATGGTGCTCAATGTGATGGGGGTGAAATGGACCACTCATGTGTCTTAGGAGGAGCCCCGTCCCCATGCTGCTCTTTAAATCACATTCTCATCCGAAACCATGAGGTCTAGAATCTTGATTTGCTTTCACATGGCATTATTTAAATTGAACTTTGCACTCAGACCAAAAAATAGGGGTACGCGTTGTCTTCCAACCGCCCTGCAAGGCAGGAAAAGCAAGAGGGAAAGAATATTTATTTTTGACCACAAGGGGCTCTGACTACCTTCGTCTTGTTTCCTCCTTGCCACAGTGGTGTTATAAACGGGAATGTGTGCCTTTTGGAACACGGCCAGAAGGGGTGACGGTGCGTGGAGCTCATGGTCATCCTGGGGAGAGTGTAGCCGGACATGTGGTGGTGGCTTCTCCTCATCAGTCCGCCACTGCTATAACCCACGGTAAGGAAATCCGGTCCAGCGAGCAGAAAGCTGCCTGGCCACGAAATCCAAACCAAATGTCAAATCTAAACAAGAATCTCAGAAAGGCAGCAGAAATGAAATGGATGTGTTCTGAGAGATATTCCCCCCCCTTCCGTTCTTTCTCTTCCGCAAGGCCGACCATCAGAGGGAGATATTGCTTGGGGGAGTGGAAACGATACCAATCCTGTAACACCGATGTGAGTTAACAAAATCTTGAGGATAAGGATATGAATAATAATATGATGAAGAGGAGGGATGGATGAATGGACAGGGGCCAGAGAGCCCTATGAAGAGAAGGAAGGTTTTTTTTTTAATTGAATGAGAATTTCCTCTTCAAATAGCCCAGAGGCGATGGGTTTTCCAAGGCAATTACTCTCTTACATTGCTAGCTGTCAGTGTATCACAACCCGAGATAGAGTGCTCCCGTGCAGAGGTGTTTAACAGCCCCTGATGGATGGGGATGGGATTTTGGAATGTTCTAGACCACCATCATTATCCATTCTGGGGCGTCCACCTACCATTTCAAAGACCTAAATGTGGTTCGCCTGGGGGACAAGGCCTAGATCTGAAGCTTTCTGGTTTAGCAAGGCCAAGTAGCATTTCATCTTCCTGTTCCTGCCCCAGAGCTACCTGAGAACTTTTCCAAACAGGAGCTAAGCCTAGCTACACCTTCTGGTTGAGGCCCTCCTCCCAGGTGAGTCACACTGAGATGTTGGAGGTGTCTGTAAGGGCAGGGAGAAATTCCAGAATGGAGAATTATGGGATTTGCGATCTTGAAAATCTAAAAATCTCACCAACATAGATTCACTACTGTAAGAAGAGGGAAGAAGGATGTCTCAGACTACGTGTTTGTAGAAGAAGGGATGCTTTCCAGCAAGAAATCTGAAGTCAACTACCAAGGCATTATTGGGGGCCATGCGGTGGTAACAGATGTGGGAAAGGGGGTCAACTCTGCCTGATCAAAAAGTGTTTGCAATGACCTGGGGAGACTTTTCTCCCTTCTTACCGTTGCTCAGGATTGTCCTCCGGGATCTCAGGATTTCCGAGAACTTCAGTGCGCCGAATTTGATCATATTCCATTCCGCGGCAAATATTACAGCTGGAAGACCTACCGAGGTGAGCATGCCGTTTCTCTCCAGGGTGACCTTCCGTGTCTGTGAGACATTGGCAACTTGGGCTCAACCATTGGACCCACACCTGAGCTTTGTCAGGTGAAGTCACCTTGTTCATGGTTTCAAACAGCCATGGCCTTTCGTGAGACCCTCTAATCCAGGGGTCAGGGAACTTTTTTACCTTTTACCCCCTAAAAAATTTATATATGCTGACATTACCCCCTTGATTTGAAAGGAAGGATCTCGGTCACACGTGGTCAGTTGAGCGCCGCCGATTGCCCCAGGGCCACCCACGCCCAGGCTGCCTCCTCCTCCTCTGCCACCACTTGGCGGGGCCGCGCTCAGTCCTTGGCCCTGTGGGGGCAGCTCCCTTTGTCCGCCAGCAGGTGGCTCCTGGGTAGCCGTGGAAGAGCACCAGGTGGCTTGGTTGCAGCCGGACCGGAGAAGGGGTCGGAAGGTAGCAATCGGGCAACTCGGGACCCCTCCGGGCAAAATAGGAGGAAGGGGGTTAGGGTTGCGTCCTCATTACCCCCAGGATTTTCATTTTTACCCCATTTGGGGTAATTTACTCCTGTTCCCTGTGTGGTCCGCCAGCAGGTGGCTCCTGGGTAGCCGTGGAAGAGCACCAGGTGGCTTGGTTGCAGCCGGACCGGAGAAGGGGTCGGAAGGTAGCAATCGGGCAACTCGGGACCCCTCCGGGCAAAATAGGAGGAAGGGGGTTAGGGTTGCGTCCTCATTACCCCCAGGATTTTCATTTTTACCCCATTTGGGGTAATTTACTCCTGTTCCCTGTGTGAGTGTGTTCAGTCGTTTAGTCGTGTCCGACTCTTCGTGACCCCGTGGACCACAGCACGCCAGGCCCTCCTATCTTCCACCGCCTCCCGGAGTTGTGTCAAATTCATGTTGGTCGCTTTGTAGACATTGTCCAGCCATCTCATCCTCTATCATCCCCTTCTTCTCCTGCCTTCACACTTTCCCAACATCAAAGTCTTTTCCAAGGAGTCTTCTCTTCTCATGAGATGGCCAAAGTACTGGAGCCTCAGCTTCAGAATCTGTCCTTCCAGTGAGCACTCGGGGTTGATTTCCTTTATAATTGATAGGTTTGTTCTCCTTGCAGTCCAGGGAACTCTCAAGAGTCTCCTCCAGCACCACAATTAAAAGGCATCAATTCTTCGGCGGTCAGCTTTCTTTATGGTCCAGCTGTCACTTCCATACAACACTACAGGAAAAACCATAGCTTTGACTATTCGGACTTTTGTTGGCGAGGTGATGTCTCTGCTTTTTAAGATGCTGTCAAGGTTTGTCATTGCTTTCCTCCCAAGAAGCAGGCGTCTTTTAATTTCGGGGCTGCTGTCTCCATCTGCAGTGATCATGGAGCCCAAGAAAGTAAAATCTGTCACTGCCTCCATGTCTTCCCCTTCTATTTCCCATGAGGTCTAATCCATTCCCCGTTCTCCCCTTCCTTTCGTCTCAAAGCCTTCTGCAAGAACACACCGGCACCAGGGTGGTGGTATCCATAAGGGAGAAGGTGGTTTTGAAAAGTGCAGTCAATAAAATCATACAGAGATGCAGCAGCGAACCTCCTCAGAGTCTTTATTTCCTTGGAGGTTCCCGAGTCTCTTATGCATTTGATGCACAACTTTTTTTTACAATTCTGAAAAAGATCTGGAGCTGCGACAATGGGAAAAACTCATATCGCTTGACTAAATTAACTATACAGAAATCTACATTCATCCCTCCCACAATGAGGAAGCATAGCGAACATAGGTCTACGCTCTAAACCTGTCTGTTTGAACCCTTCCAGGGGGCGTCAAATCCTGCTCTTTGAATTGCCTAGCAGAAGGGTTCAATTTCTACACGGAAAGGGCCGCGGCTGTGGTCGACGGTACCCCCTGTCGCCAAGACTCCATTGATATCTGCGTCAGCGGAGAATGCAAGGTGACAGCCCATGGTCCCTAACCACTAGTCCTCTCTGCCCCATTCCCCATTGACTAAACAGTTTGAGTTTTCTATTATAAATCCACCCCTGCTCTTCCCCCCCCAGCATGTAGGTTGTGATCGCGTTCTCAGTTCGGACACCAAGGAAGACAAGTGCCGTGTGTGTGGTGGGGACGGGAGCACATGTGAAACCATCAAAGGCATCTTCAACTCTTCACTGCCCAACGGAGGTGAGGACAACTTTCCGAGTCCAGAACAACAGACCCAGTTTCGCCTCTTTGCAAAGTTCCACCCTTCCAAAATCCTTATGGGTGGGTTCCTATTGGCCAGTGCCTGACACATCACAACCACTCGAGCCCGCAAGTTGAGGGTAGACCCACTGAATCAGATGTTTTTACGC